ACCTTAATTGCCATCCGATAGCCTTCATCCAGTAGCGGATGGAAGCAGAAGCAGGCACCCACAGCTAAGCACTGAGCCATACTCCTGGACTCCAGTTGTAGAGAGAAGGAGGGATGAGCAAAGGAATCAAGACCATGCTGGAGAAACCTACAGAAACAGCTGACCTGACCAAGTGGGAGCTCAACGGACCCCAGCCAGACAGCACGGACTGAATTGAACCCTCTGAATGTGGGTGCCAGTTAGGAGGCCTGGGCAATGGAACCAGTATTTATCCCTAGTGCACAAATGGACTTTGGGAGTCCATTCCCTATGGAGGAATACTATTTCAGCCTAGATACACAGATGAGGGACTAGGCCCTCCCCCAAATGATGTGACAGACTTTGGTATCCCCCATAGAAGGCCTCACTATCCTTGGGGAGCTGGAGGGGGGTGGGTTTGGGGGATTGGCAGGGGGACATGGGAGGATGGGAGGGAGAGGGAACAGGGGGATTGATATGTAAAATGATTGTTTCTTCATTTAAGAAATGTTAAAAAAATCCCTAGAAAATAAAAAAAGCCTTTTTTTTTATTGAATGAAAAAATCATGGAAGCCTACCCAAATTTCTATATATTAACCCTTCACCTATTATTTTAATATTTTCCTTTTATTCTTAATGCTTCGCTAAGATATACTGGACGATGTTTAGAACCAACAAGATAAACTGAGAAAGGAAGGTGTGGTAGTTTGAATGTAATTACCCCCCTCCCCCATCTCATAAGGAGTGGCACTATTAGGAGGTGTGGTTTTGTTGGAGTGGGTATGGTCTTGTTGGAGGAACTGTGCCATTGTGGGGGCGGGCTTTGAGGATTCCTATACTCAGGATGCCGCCCAGTGCCTCAGTCAACTTCCTGTTGCCTGAAAGATGAAGAACTCTCAACTACTATTTCAGCACCATGTCTGCCTGCATGCCACTATGCTCCCTGCCATAATGGTATGAAACTGTTAAGTGAGCCCCCTCAGTTAAATGTTTTCCTTATAAGAGATGCTGGAGTCATGGCATCTTTTCACAGTAGTAGAAACCTAACTAAGACAGAACAGAAGTCAAAAGGGTTTTTTGTTTTTATTTTGTATTTATTTTTTTAAAGCTATTCCAAGAGAAGGTCTCACTTTCATTGCCTGAGTAAAGACCTGAACTGAGACAGTATCTGGCAAAAAGCATTCCATAGAGATTCAGGGAACAACACACATAAAATCCCTAGAATGTCTGAGGAAGATGCTGATGCCAATGTTGTCTGGATCCCAGTGCTGGGAATAAAAAGATCTGCAAAGGCCTTTGTGGACCATTATGGTGCTTTCAGTTAGTGCTCTTGGTGAAATGAGAAGCCATTGAGGATGTAAGCAGAGGGACAGACATTTCATAGGGCTGGAGGTTTTGGGGGTGGATGTATGGGTGATTTTGTGTACAAATTTGACTGGGTTAAGGAATGCCCAGACAGCTCATGTGGGGTTTTCTAGTGGTGATCAGCATTTAAATCAGCATACTAAGGGAGGTAGGTCTCTCCTCACCACAGGGCCTCAATAAGTGCAAAGGAAGAGTGAATTCTCTTTCCTGCAGCTGGGGTAATCCATCTTCTTTTGGCCTCAGACACCAGAGCTCCTGGGCTGAGACCTTTTGAACTCCAGGACTTACAGCACAGGCACCTTCCTGATGTCAGGTCTTTGACCTTGAACTACACTAATTATACCTGGTTCTCCTCAGTCTTCAGATTCTGACTGAATTACATGACTGGATTTCCTGATTCTCCTGCTTACTGATGGCATACCCTTCTGAGACTCCATAATTAAGTTAGTCTCTCTCTCTCTCTCTCTCTCTCTCTCTCTCTCCCTCTGTGTGTGTGTGTGTGTGAAGTTCTTTCTTTTCCTTAGGAGAATTCAAAGACAGAGTAGAAGCAGAGAGATTAGTTAGATATTTCAGACAAGAGCTTTATTGAAATTTGGTTTCAATTCTTGAAAATCTTAAAAGAAAAAGAAATATGTTCTAGCTTTTAGTATATAGAGTTGACGGTAGTCAAATACATAGAAACTTCACTAATTTTAAAGATAATTTTATTAGCACAAGTATTACCACCAGGCCTGGAGAGACATTTCAGCAGTTAAGAGCAAGTTCTGCTCTTGCAAAGGACACAGGTTCCATTTCCAGCACTTAGATGGCAGCTCACAACCATCTGTAATTCCATTTTCAGGGCATCTTTTCTGACCTCCGAAGGCATCAGGCACACAGTTGGTGCACATACATACATGCAGGCAAAACACTCATACACACAAAATAAAAATAAAGCTTAGAAGTGATTTAAATTAAGTATTGACATCAACTAAAAAAGAGAAAAACCCGTGGTAAGCTATAAACAGCTCCTTGGCCCCTCGATTTCCTACAAACAGGAAGCAGACAGAGAAACCCCACTGTCCTTTACAAATACCTGAGGAAATCACAGAATCCAGGTACAGGGGACAGATCAGGTGTATTCATGAAACAGTATTTCACCTTTTACCTTACACAGGAACCTGATTACTCAGAAGAATTTCATCATTGTGACTGCTATTTGCTTTTTTTAAATTCAAAGTTTTCTGTATTAGGAAAAGGCATACCTGGACCTGGTAGATATCATAGGCTCCTAGACTTTGCAGATTTCATGGACCTTTTAGGGGGTTAAGATCAAGAGTATATACATTTTGCATGTGGGGAGGATGTAATTGCAACTTAGAAAGCAGACTACAGTAGATTAAATTTGTCCCTATTACTCTCTACCCTAAACTAGAATAGTGTTTTACATACAGAGTCCTTTGCTAAGCTGCAAGTAGGCAAGGGGTTATCCTTTTGACTTTGCATTTGGCCAAATGACTTTCTTTGGTCAATGGGATGAAGAACAAGTGACAAATGCAAACACTTGAAATATTTGCCTGTGGTCTTCCTGCTATTCCTTCTGTGGCCATCATGGGAAGGGCTTGCCTGGGGTTTTCAGCAAAGGCACTGGTATGCCTTGATGTTAAGTCTACTGAAGTAATTCACAAGAGAGATGATGGGAACTAGGATCAATGTGCTACAATGGGAGTGGTGAGATGTGTTCAGCTTCTGGGTGTATTTTATAGAAAACCCCACAGATTTGCTGCATATATATTTGATGGGAGAGAAAGTGATGAGTTAAGGAGGAATCTGGAGATTTGGGCCTGGAAAAACGGAAGAATGGAGTGGCCATTTGCAATGTACATTCTATTAGTAAGTTATGTGTTGTTTGAATTCAGTGAGAAGCTGGTACTGGAAGCTGGTTGCCTCACCCTCCATTTTCAGACATGTCTGTCTCAAACGAAGTGTAGTGGTGCATGCCTTTAGTCCCAGCACTCTGAAGGCAGTGGCAAGTGGATCTATGTGAGTTTGAGGCCAGCCTGGTCTATATAGGTCTATATAGTGAGTTCCAGGACAGCTAGAACTACATAGTGAGTCTCTGTCTCCAAAAAAAAAAAAAACATAAGACAGAAAAAGTATCTCTCCTAGGCCACTTGTCTGAGGATGGACTGCCCCACAACTATGTGACAGGGAGAGAAGAGAATCTCAAAACAGCCCAAGAGTAAAAACTTTCCATTGAAACCAGCTAGATAGAAGGCAAAGTATTTCCAACAGATATTATTACTCTTTACTGTTTATCCCACCATGTAGGGAGAATCCAGAAGTTCAGCTGTGGGAAATCTCATCCATGGACAGGAAGCCCAGGTAGGAACTCCAATTGACAGTCTCAATTTCTGTAGTTGGTTTCTGCTGGATAGAGTGAATGTCCAATTTGATAATGTCATTTGTATCTGTTGTTATCTGTGATTTCACTTAGAAGCCTCACCAGAGGGGACACTGCTCTTGCCCAGGATTCTATCTACCAGGAACTCTAGCTCACTGCCTCAATGGGGCTTTACCAGTTGATTTCTGCTAAGTGTTTTAAGCATTCAGGGTCTGTCTGTCTGTCTGTCTGTCTGTCTGTCTGTCTGTCTGTCTGTCTGTCTGTCTGTGTGCCTGCCTGGCTGCCTATCTACCCATCCATCCTCTATCATCCATCCCAACTTACTTTTATGTTAGGCATACTATATACTTAATAAACTCACTTATTCAAACTGAAAGTATAGCTATCATGGATCATTCTCCAGACTACATAGGTCACTATTTTCTCAGGTGGGAAACACCAAGAGAACTACAGCCTGGAGGTGGCAATATCAGGAGTTGTTTGGCAAGTTCGTTTTGAGAAACCTTACGTCTCAATAGGAATGCTAAGTAGGCAGTTGGCTATAAGAGGTTGGAGCTGGAGGGAAGCAAGGTCTGGCAATCATGTGCAGAGGTTTATGAAGTCATGCAGTCATGTGACTGGATGACGTGCACAGGTGAATATTAAAAAGGAGCCCTGTGTTTGGGTTTAGAGGGCCATCAGTGTCTAGTGGTTGGAGTAAATAGTAATCAGCAAAAGACTTTCAGGGAGGGTTACAGACTCAAGCCCTGTCTCAAGAAGACAAAGCCAAGCAAAACAAAAACTATAAGCTGTGTGGTTGATGCACCAAATATTCACCACTAGTCCAGCCCGTGAAAGATGTTCAATACATTTTCAGGGAACGATTGCTTATTATGACACCTGAACATCAGTGGGGAAGGCCTAGTCGTTACTTATCTTTATAACAACCCAAACTATTAAAAAAAATTAGGGTTTAGTATATAGCTCAGTCAAGGTCCTGGGGTTCACTACCACCATCACTAAGAAAAAAACAGAAAGCAGACTATACTTCAAAGGAGGTGAGGTTATCAGCAGAAGAGAAACATGAAGCTTAGATTCCAGGGGTCAGGTAGAGCAGCTTTACTCACCAGCTATCAGACCACATAACCCAAGCTCTGAAGCCCTAGGTACTACTGTTCAGATGCTGAATTTAAGGTGTTTAGACACAGGCTGGGGACAAGAAGTGACAACTCTGCTCCCAGGGAAATTCAAGGGGTGTGTTTCAATGGCATGTTTATTAAACAAATGCTCATGACAGATTTTCACAACAGCAACAAATGTTATTCCACAACATCATATCTCCTTACTGAGAAAAAAATGACAATCGCAACACAGATGGATTTGATTACTTTTTCATGTTTCCTGGGGGGTAAAGCCAGTGTCCTCACTGGTCTTCCTCTCCTTTCGCTTGGGCACTTTTATCTGACCTCATTTTCTTTACCTCTTCTCTGGCCACATGTCCCCGGAAGACTGATTGGATTTTGAGAGCAGCGTACTCCTCCTTTTCCCTTTCTTCCTCAGTAGACTCCTCCTTCATCGAAAGGAGACAAAGTGAGAGACTTTTCCAGAATGCTGCCTTTTTGATGCCTCAAAAATGAATGTATAGATATAACTGATTTACAAATGCAACCATTTTGAGGGCTGTTGCTTCCTGGAGGGATTTTATACATTATCACATTGTGTGTATGTGTGTACCAAAGGCCAAATGCCTAAAGAGCAGGCATTCAGCTTGCCACTCTTTAATATGTCTTAATACAAGATCATTGCCAACTTCTTTTCTCTTGTTCCCAGACAGCACCCATTTAAAGTTGCCTGAGAAATAGCATTGTGTTTAGGGTGGGGAAGCAAGAAAGAATCCTTGAAGTACTACTGTGTCTATGTTAACATCAGTACATGTGCTGTTTTGAAATAATTGTGATTTTATAAGATGGATAAAAATGTTAATTCTAATTTCTAAATGTTTAGACAATTAAAACCACACATTAAGAGGTGGAACATCAAAGAGAAAGTCAGTTTATTAATATTGGGCTTATCAGTTGGCTAAACAGGGACATACAGTTTCTTCTTTTTTTAAACTTAGGTATAATTTACAGATGGCAAAATTCATGGATCCTAAATGTAGAACTGAAAAAATATATGGCCCTTAATGTACCTTTTTAAAGTTACAAACATGATAAGTACATATTAAAATCTCCTCAATCTATCACTTGTTGAAACATTTTCACTTCCCCAGCTCTTGTTCTTAAAAAGTAACCATTATTGGAATGAGTCTACCACAAGATCCAGCAATTCCACTCTTAGGCATATACCCAAAAGAAGCACATTCATACAACAAGGACATCTGTTCAATGATGTTCATAGCAGCACTATGTGTAATAGCCAGAAACTGGAAGCAGCCTAGATGCCCCTCAACTGAAGAATGGATAGAGAAAATGTGGTACATTTACACAATGGAGTACTACTCAGCAGAAAAAAAAAAACAAAAACAAAAACAATGGAATCTTGGAATTTGCAGGAAAATGGATGGAACTAGAAGAAACCATTCTGAGCAAGGTAACCCAATCACAAAAAGACAAACATGATATCTAATCACTCATATGTGGATTTTAGACATAGAGTAAAGGATTACCAGCCTACAATCCACACTGCCAGAGATGCTAGTAAACAAGGAGGACCCTAAGAGAGACATACATGGTCCCCTGGAGAAGGGGAAAGGATCAAGATCCCCTGAGCAAATTGAGAGCACAGGAAGAGGGGGGAGGGAGCTACGAGAATGAGAAGGGGAGAAGAGGAAGGATGAAGAGGTCATGAGGGAGCAGAAAGGTTGAGCCAAGGGAAGAATAGAAGAAAGGGTATGTGATAAGTAGGGTTTTAGTTGGGGGGTGTTAGGGGAGGACGGGAGGGAGAAGGGAACTGGGATTGTCATGTAAAACAATCTTGTTTCTAATTCAAATAAAAAATGATTTTAAAAAAGTAACCATTTTTGTAGGTTGTGTGTCTCTATGTGTATTTGTGTATATTTATACATTCTTCCAAAATTTCTCTATGTATGAGTCCATTTACATGAGACACATTTGTTTTTCATTTTTAAACAAGACCATACTAATTGGAGTGCTCTACAGCTACTTTCCCCATGGAACCAACACATCTGGGTTCTCTTCTTTGCTATTATTTCGTATGTAATTTTGCTCAGTTTTAATGGGAGGGACATGGCCACTATGTTCCATTGTACTGATATCACTCACCAGAGATTTAGTCATTCAGTCAACAATTGACTGACCTTTGAGATGTTCAATCCCCTCCATTACAGCGAGTTAAGTTTAGCTCTTAAACTTTAAATGCAAATAGACTGGCATAAAATTCTGTGAGATGATTCTCTAATATGGGCAAGTGAATTACTCTTAAGTTAAAAATCAATGGAACCGTAACACAAACTTGTAACAGCTTATAAAAGAGCATCTATAAGAGAAATGAGGAAATGTTTCCATTTTTCTATATCTCTGAATTCCTATTACATCTGATGCCATTGTTAGACTAATTGGGCTGTATCAGTATTATTCTAGAATAATTGAATAATGTAAGGAAAGAATGTATCTCAGTAGGGTATGTTCATTTTAGGCATCAATATTGCTGAGATACTAGGACATGAAAAGGAACTCAAAGGTTTGAACTCTGACATTGTACAGAATGAATTCTTTTACACAAAACCAGGTTTGCCTGCCTTCCTTCCTTCCTTCCTTCCTTCCTTCCTTCCTTCATCCCTCTCTCTCTCTCTCTCTCTCTCTCTCTCTCTCTCTCTCTCTCTCTTTCTCTTTCCCCTCCTCTCTCTCTCTCTCTCTTTCCTTCTTTTTTTTGAGACAGGGTTACTTTGTGTAGCCTTGGCTGTCCTAGAACTAGCTCTGTAGAGCAGGCTGGCCTTAAACTCACAGGAATCTGCCTCCCAAATGCTGGGATTAAAGGCATGTGCTGCTGCCACCACCACTAGGGAAAGCCTGGTTTTTCTTAGTTTGGACTATGAAGAATACAGGCAGTGATGTTGTGGTAAATGTTTAACTGGCTCTACAGAGAAATAATAGAACCACACAATATTTCCCTCCTAAATACCACCAAAGCTCTGGTTTGTAGTGTTTACCTTAGTCTCAATATGCTTAGATGGCTGATTTTAAGTTATCAAAATGATGTTTGTTGCTTTGTACACAATTATCTCCAAGTAATGGCTTTAGCACACCACTGAATAGAGATTGTTAATATCTTTGAGGATGGATTTTCCTATTTGTGTGTGGCTTGGATGTAGAATATCAAGGCAGGCAAGCATTTCTATAGAAGACCTTGCAGGAAACTGTGTAAGGCCATTCTATTTGGTGGTATGTAATTGTTTTCCTTTAGTTATTTCTAACCTTTGCCTTTGTGTGGTGGCAACAGCAAAAAGTAGTAAAAAACTCCCAAAGGAGAATATTTATATGAAAGATGAGAGGAGGTTCCAAGTTCATCTGCCTGCCTCTTTCCCACGGAAAGATTTTCTGATCTAGATGTTTAAAGGCAAGAATGGGTTTATGAAAATAATCTGCCAGTTTATCACTGACGTTAACCATCTAGAAAGCAGGGTTCTAATTTCAATAATAACTGATATGTTGATATGTATTTTGTGCACAACTTTAAACGTAGTAATAACATTGTGTGTGTAGGAATACAAAAGTAAATGAAAAATACTACATACGAAGGCCGTAACTGGTGTTTCTTCTCTCCCAGATGATTTGGCCATTTCTTGTTCACATTTCTCAGTTTGTTCTGGGTCCTATAAAGAAAAGAGAGGGCCACATAGGCACTGTTTTGAAGATAGCAAACTCTGGACCATGCTGCATAAGGGTAACTGGAAGGAACGGTATTGAGATGCATGGGGAATTAAAGATACATTAGTTGTTTGTTTTGTTTTTTTTGTTTTTTTTTTTTACAAGAATTTGTCTTGGGAAAAAAAGGAAGTGAATGAAAACTCAAGGGATAAACCACTGTCTCACACTGAAAGTTTGGTAATAAATCTTGAGGACAGTATAAAAAAATTTGTAGTTTCTACAATAGCAATAAAACTAAAGTCATTGTATTCCTTAGTATGAAGCCAGGTTGACTTTTATCGACAATTATAAATTAAAAACTAAGTCAATATTACAGAAGAGAAGGGGATTTGGGAAGAGATGGTAACAGAGGATGAATATGATCAAAGCACATTATGCTCATGCATGAAAATGTCAACCATTACTTTATGCAATTAATATACAATAATATATGAAATGGAGGAAGTGAGTTTCACTTTGGAAAAAGATATATGTACAAAGACTGAGCCAGCTCAGTTTGTTCTGACATAACTAGTCCATTCCTCTACAAAAGAGGCATTGCTAGCTTGCCTTCAAGAAGAGAATTTTTAACACATAAAACCGAAAATTGAGGATACATAAATAATACAAAACCCTGAAAACCCAAAGTAAAAGAAACACCTTGAATTTCTATGTGACACAAGGACATAACGTTTTCAACATTATCTCTTTGATTTCAATAAAAAGCAAACAACCCAAAAACACATGAGTGCTGCAGACAATCTGGTAAAACTAGAAATAAAAGGAACAGCCTCATACATGCAGGTGTAAATGGATAGAAATTCACTTTTGAGTGCAAATTAACAGCTTCTACAAAAACAGTCTCCAAATCTACTGGAGAACACTAAAGCCTGGACATTATCAATGTCTCTTGAGTCTACATCTGAGAAAATGGCATTTTCCCAATTGTCTAGAGTAGTACTCTAAAAAAATTTAATTTATTGTCTTTTTTTGTTATTGTTGCTATTGCTGTTTTGAGACAGGATTTCTTTATGTAGCCCTAGTTGTCCTGGAACTTGCTCTGTACACCAGGCTGGCTTAGAACTCAGAAATCTGCCTGCCTCTGCCTCAAGTC